GGGTGCGACCAGAGTCACGGAACGAATTAAGTTCGTAAACCGAGGTTCCACTGTATTTCATGAAAACTCAGGGGGTGAGTTTACTGAAACCTCATGAGATTGGGACTGTTCTCCCACCACTAGCACCATTTTTTAAAAAATTGGTTTGGCGTAGCCAGGCCCTAATTCGGAGCTCAGCGTGGACGTTCTTATCAATGGATTGGCATGGGAGGAGCTTGGCCATTCACCTAAAGGCACTGCTGTCTCATTCAAAAGGACAATTTCCAGCAACTTTTGGAAAAGCTTTAGGGGGTCAGCTCCCTGCTGCACAGGATGAGTTTCTTTGCCTTGACGCCGTCGCTCTTGTTCACTAGCGGCACCAACCTCCACTGGACCATCACTTTTTTGTCTCTGTGTTTCAGGTTTTTATACAGGAACCCACCCAAAGCCAAAAGGGACGAGGCTGACCAGAAGAGGTGTACCTTGGTTTGTGCCTTTGACACCACTTTGCTTTGGTTCCCTTGACAAGAGGCCCGGGGAGGAAGGAGAATGAGACAGCTGAAAGGGAAGCCCAAAAAGGAGACGTCCAAAGACAAGAAAGAAAGAAAGCAAGCGATGCACGAAGCCCGTCAGCAAGTCACAACTGTGGTGCTTCCCACCCTGGCTGTGGTGGTGCTTCTGATTGTGGTATTCGTTTATGTGGCAACCCGCCCCAATTCAACAGAATGACATGGATTTTGAACTCTGCCCCTTGGGTCGGCTTGCCTGCTATTTTGCCAAGGGCCAAAAACACAACAAAATCCCTCCCTGTTTCCCCAAGATATCCCTTTCTAATCCCCCGGTTATTAATAATCCTTTTACAAAGGACTCCTCTTTTTCTGACTTGATTCACAATCCACAGTTGCTCTTGTGGAATGTAAGATAGAAGATATGTGCTCCAGGGGCAGAAAGAATGTTTTATTGTCCAGTGCAGTGTTTCTCAACCTTGGCAGCTTGAAGATGTGTGGACTTCAACTCCCAGTATTCCCCAGCCCGCCAAGCCTGCTGGGGGAATTTGGGGGGTGAAGGCCCCCCATATTTAAGACGCCCAGGTTGTGAAAAACAGGACAGGACAAAAAAACATTC